AATTGTTAATATTAAGTAAAATTGAAATAATAATTTGCAAATTTAAAATAAAATTAATTTGTATTTACCTAATGAGACTTATAATGTGAGCTAAACATGGTATATGGATTAATTGTGACATTATTGGTTTTAAAACTTTTTTATAACATTTTTTCATGTATGATACAGAATCTGAAAGAAATAATCTTGGTAAGGAATAAGAAATATTATAGATGGTTAGAATAGTTAAAAGGGTTCCACCCATTATTAAATTATTCACACGTTCCAAAAAGTCAACTGATATAAGTTTTGTATTTTCACGAAAGGTAAAAAGGGTGTTTATAACACTTCTTAAACAATCATCTGTGGTCTCATCCATTATTATTGCAACAGGTTTTTGATTAAAGAAATCTTTAAGTAAAGAAAAATGTTTATCAAAAACATTGGGTAAATATATTTGGCGAAGAGTAGGAGCTTGAGGTATTGCATCACCTTCTTTAAGGTGTTTTTTAAAAAAAGGAAGGAGTTGATTAACTTTTTCCAAAAGGATATTTGCAGAGGAAAAAGTTTCAATTAAATCTTCTATAACCTCTTTTTTTGGATTCAAATGCATTATTAATTGTAGAAATCGTAGTTTGCTTTTTTTTTTGTTCATTAATTTCATAAAGGTGTTTTTTTTTATCATGTCCTTTTGAAAGACAATGTGCATCAATGGTAAATTTTGACTTCCATTCAACTGAGAAGTCACAAAAGTTGCAAAATAAAATACCACTATTCTCTCTAGGATGTTCATTAATACGAGAGTTTATGAAAATTTTTTTTTTGCATGTTATCATGTTTGTTAAAAGATACTAACTTAATTTGTAAAACAAATGTACAAATTGTAAAATGCGAAAGATTATTGTAGTTCAATGATCAAAATTTGAACTTAAGAATCTCACGTGATTCTGTGATTTAAATTATAAAAATTATGAAAATATTAAATTCTGTGAAATTATGCGGTAACTAACACAAATAATGTAATTAGTGAATCACAGAAAATTATCGTCCCTATCACAGTCACTGTATTCAGATTCTTCTCAGTGCCGCGATTCTAACAAGCTAAAATTCATCCAAATCGGATCAGTAGATCAGCAAAAAATCGATAAAGAAGATCGTCGCAGATCATTTATATCACCGCATCAGATAGGTGTGTAAAAGAATACTGTTGTTAAAATCACCACTACAATAAATACTACATGGTACAAGTATTTTGAGAAGACCAATATTGAGTCCTGGTCAATTTCCAAGTTTCTCAAAGCTTGAAACAACGATGAAAAAGACCTTGATTAAATTGCTCACTGTAAGACTATAAACGCGCTCTTCAAGAGTCTTCATGCGGTTATTAGTAAAAGCTTAGATAGAAAAAAAGTTGACAAGGCTAATAGCCTTTTGAATGCCCTTCAGGTTTGGTTGTTTCTGCCCCCTTTTCATTGTTCATTACTGCGGACTTTTCGTTCGCGACTTTTTGTCGTTCATGACTTTTCGTCCACGACTTTTGTCATTCATGACTTTTCGTCCATAACTTTTTGTTAATAGATCGTGTTTTATGTCTAAAATTTGTATTTTTTCTTTTTAAACTGACGTGTTGACGAAAATGTAAAACGTATTATTCACAAAACTAATTGTAATAACCCAAGATCGAGTAATCTACAGTTTGTTTCCTGTAACGGACTACAGATTGATAATATGGCGACTACATCATCTGAACTGGTAATTGGATTTAAGCAAGTGGATAAGAATGAGGAAGCATCAATTCCACTAAAGAAGGTCAGGATAAATAAATTTAGATTTTCTTTTTTTTTTGCTAACCTTTGATTGTATGCATTAATCCAAACTACCCAAGTGGATCAAACTGATAAAAAATCCCTCACTACTCCATTTACAAACATTTTCGCGAATTCACAACAATCATATTCACAACAATCAGATAAAGCTCACACTCCTTTTTCTATCCAATCTTCTCACAGGTTCGTGGAGTGTGAAAACCAAGGAATCTTGGATTCAGATTTTGGCCTCGCATTAGAATTACTTGATGATCCGCCTGAGGTATTATGCCTTCTGCTTTATATTATTCTACATATAAAAGATATACTTATTTCTGCCCAATCTTCCAGGTAAAATCACTACAATCAGATGAAGTGTTGCTTCAAAAAACCCTAATTGAAATTCTTAATAAATTCAAATCTAAAGACCTTTTATTAAGAAAGACCTTTATGAATTCTAATTTTCTTAATAACATCATTGATCTAACTGATAATAAAATGGAACACGAAATACAATTTACATTGAATCTTGATCAAAAGCTATATCTTGATGAAGTATTAAAGAAACAGGCTTGGATTCCAACGCCTGAATTTAAAAATTACTGTGATCAATTCACAGATGATGTCTGTAACCGAGTCAAAATTCTAACTTTAGTTCAAAAGTCTTTTACTGGAGAATATTTTGATCTATTTCTTCACGAAGGATATGACATTACGCATGATATCATGAAACATTTATAAGTTTTTTTTTGTTTCTAAAGATGTGCTAGAAGATATGGCTAACATCAATCATAATAAATAGTTCTGTACGTCTAAAAGTACCAAATAATTCAGAGTCAAATAATTCAGGTTTAGAAAGAACGTATGCGATCGACACAACAATATATGTTATAAACTGGCTCTTCTGAATGCATCAAGACGTTCTAGAACGGATATGGTAAGTTCAATTTTAATTCATAACAGTTTATATTGCTTATTAATTTCTTTTTATTTGATACAGGCTTGTGATACTTACCAAAGATACAAAGAACCAAAAAATAGACGGTGTTTTAAAAGTTCTCAAAATGAGAAAGAAAGAACATCAGACAATATGTATTGTTGAATTCTCCTACGGTAAAAAGGCTCCTGAAAATAAGAAAATTAGCAATGATGTGAAGCTTGCTCAAAATGCGACCTGAATTCTAAACAAACTATTAGATTCAGTCTCTTGTAAAAAGGCATGTGTATATACGATTCAATGCGTGAGTAAGTATCATAATATGGTAAAGAAAAAGGTATAGTTTTGCATATTCCTTTTAGCTTTACATAATTTTTTTCCTTTAAGATGAACAAATCCATATACGATATTTGGTTTAACCCCTCCCCTCAGTATATCTTTATGAAGAGTTTGTGTGCATTAAAATCCCAACCTCCTTTGATGACATTGAACAATTTGCTATGAACATGAAAATGCTAATGGATTTTCAGGTAACAAATTAGTAATTAGTATTCATAGAGATCCTAGTAGGATACTGATAGGGTTTTGTTTTATTATTACAGAGTGATGTTTTAAAAACTTTTAAGTCAGTGAACAAACCCGTTAAAATTGAGAATGTGGATAAGTCTGTAGTTGAAATTATGCCAAAGAAATCCACAAAGAAGGCTAATAAGAAAAGCACTTAATATCATTTTTTTCAAAACGGAAAATGTGACAGATTGTATTTACTGTAACATGAAATCGTATCAATAGCATTTAGCTTGTAATTATAATTCGCATGCTATTAATAGTTAATCTGCTTGTATTTTTTAAAGTACTGTATATGCTTGTAGCATATGCATTAGAAAAATAAATTGCATTAATAAATGCCACTTTTTCGTACATAAAGGCGTTTACTTTATTGCATATCAGACATATTTCGGGATCCTTTACATTTATTGCACTATTTTTGTTCAAAAGATAAAATGATTAGCATTCTGAAACGGAATGCGCACGTGATTTTTCATCAGATTTTTTTTTCCTGATATACCTTCTCAGCTTATTCCAGAGTAAGATAAAATAATATATTATTTACTGCTTTCTGGACATAAACGAAGTGAGTGACAGTTGATCTAAGTAAAAATGAAATTGCTAAAATTTTAAAGCATAAAGTTCGATAATGTATTGTGTTATATGATTAATCCATTCTTCTGTGCAATTTTAATGAGCTTGGACACTGTGTCCAGACTCTACCATCAGAAAAAATAACTGATAAGAGATATAATTATCTGTGCTTAGTTACTGCATAAAATCTGATTGGCAATGCAATGTTGATCTGTAACTCATCCCATAATTTGAGTTGCGAGAAGGTTGTGGAGAAGTGCCGGGAACTGATTAGGAACTAGGAAGATCTCATGTGATATAAATTTTATATTTTAGCCGGCTATGGTGATCGGATCTAATTTAACCGAATCAAAAAATATGAATCTGTTTTCACCCGAACAGTCAAATAAAAATGAATATGGTTTTATTATAGTATAACTTGGTAAAAATTCACTAATTTGTGTGTAAACTGCTATAAATCAATAAATAGCTATAATCAAGTATAATTATTATGTTATTCAGTCATCAAACAGGTTTATTTTTTTTTTTTTTGAGGGTACTTATGAAGAGTATGTCGAATATATTGGTATGCGCTATATTGAGAATGGTGAAACTCCAACTGAATGGAAAATCAGGATCTGGAATCGCCTAATATATTTTCGAAATAAAAAATCTTATACATATGGTGAGGAAGATTGCTTTTATGTTCATAAAGCATTGCCACATCTTGTTGATGGACAAACATACTCACTGACATGTGGAATGACAATCTGCTATTCTTGCAATCAACTGGTATATCTCAGAATAGAAAGCTTGTCAATAGGTGAAAGATATGTTTATAATTGTATGAAAGGCAAGTTTAAAACTGAGAAATTCCGATATATTTCTTTTAATGGAGAACATTGGGCTACTGCTTGTACCGGAAACAAGTTTCGCAAACTAAATTTCAAAGAATATATGGAAATTAAACAGCTGATCCCATTGGATCAGTGGATGAGTTTCCATCAAATAATTCAATTTGGTAAATTCAGACGCAGAAATCCATATACCGTTTTAACTGATAATTACATTCTAAATAAATTTGGCATTCATGCTGACAAAAAAGTATATAGTTATGCTTTATGGTTAGAAAATGTTACCAGAAATATTAGGTGCATCAGACAGAAACGTATCCTTTTGAATATTCGAAAACAGAAGGAATTCCATCAGATGCAACCACTTTATTATCCGCAGATTGATAGATCAAAAGAGAGTAATACAAATGAAATATTTATCTCATCTCAGTATGCAAAACAAAATAACTTATTACCATCTATAAACCATCTTAATCAGTTCACATTAAAATTAAGAGATAAGACAAAAATTACATTTGTTTAACTGACTGATTCTGAGTAATATCTTAATTATAGACTATTGCTTTCAACTGAAGATTAGCTAAAGGCGCAATGTATAACTTATACTATTTTTTTGTGTAATGAATAGCTATATAATCTGCATGCATGATCATCTGATGAAATTGTGAAATGTATTATCTCGCAGGATAAAAAATCTGATTTGCCTCATCCCCTCAAATTATAGATTTTTGGGTGACACATAATATTGGTTTCTTTTTTGCCAAGAAAAATATTTAGGCCAGGGTTATTTATTCCCGCAGTCCTTGGACAAAAGAGCAGGTTAGATCCTCTAATATATAATTAGTAAAGTATTTTTCGAGAAGTTCAGGAAGATCAATGAAACGCTCTTAGGGATTCTTGATTGCAAGACAATATAACTATCAGTTTGAAAATTTCTATGCAACAATTATCCAGCAAGCTTATAGGAATTACAAAAAGAGACACAAATCTTTGGCAAAACAAGTTTGGGAGGTGGTGAGGAATGATGATACTCCTAACGATATGAAGTTTTTAGGTATGAAAAATGTATCAGGACAATCAGAATATATTTGTTATAGAGATAAGGGATATTATTATCTAGTAAAAAATGATTGGATGTATGAGAAGAAAGTCCAATTATGGCAACGATTATCTTTTACAACATACATACTTGTTAAGAAATTATTATATCAGCAAGGTTATATAGTTATTAGAGGTATATATTGGCTTGACATGTTAAAATGGCTACAGAATCCCGGATATTATAGTATTCATAAAAAATATAATTATGAATATTTTATCAGAATTTCAGAATATGAGGCATATAAAAGTAAATCATCAGTAATAAAACCTATATGCAATTTGCCGTTAAAATACATATATCATATTTATAGGAAGGATATTACCGTAAATTACACAGATTTGGATGATAATTGTGAGATCATGCATCAGATTTTCCAGATTAGTCCTTGACTCAGATCCTGAATATTATCTTAATAAAATAATATATCATCCAACGCTTTATGGCCAATGCAATTTTAGCCTATACGATATAAATTAACACATTTTCGATCCTCATTAAAGTATATATGATATAATAGGTGATACTTCACAAATCATCTGTGAAATTATGCTTGTGCGACAGAATAATTTCACACATAAATCGATTTCCCAAAATATTTCCAATTTTTTTCCTATCTATCTGAATAGCATTTATTTATGAGTTTATTACTTCCTTGGATGAACGGGCTATTTCCATTATATGGAGTTTATCCATTCTGACTGAAATACATTTTATAACGTTACTAGATCATAGTATTAAGCAAACGAACGAAAAATCCATATATGCATTACCCTAATGCCTTTGTAAATGTCAAGATCTTTAATGTATATTTCACATACCCTTATTCTCGGATACAAAATTTTGGCATAAAAGTCATTGCATATTTCTCCTATCTCTTTTCCCAATATGAATGCGAGTCCAAGAGGATGTGAATGGGAAATACAAAACATTTAAAAGGGCAGTATATGAAGTTTTTTTTGTTTGGATTGCTTATTCTATATTAACAATACTAAACTATATCTTCTGAACTATATTCGAAAATTTACAATTTTTTAGTAACTGCTAAGCAAGAATATATTACCGCCTTCTCGGTCATTTATCAGGGAATAAAAGAAGACCCCTGGATTTCGCAAAATGATTTGAGAAGTATTATGGACCAGGTGATAGGATTTGCTAGTAATTTGTATGTTAAAGAACCTTCGCGTCAATTAAAACTACTCTGAATACTTCCTTAGATTAATTGTTAAGCTTTATTAATATTTTTTTTTACTAAATAATAATATTACGTGATCTACTCACAGGAATGAGGCTGAAATGATAGTGTAATTATCCTATTAGCCTGCATTTAGAGGAACTATTTTCTTGAACTGCATGGAGGATGTTTAAACTATCGACTATGTTTTTAATCATTCCTAAAGATGGTATAGCAATTGATTTCAAATTTACAAAATGTTGCAACATAAGCTAAAATTAGTTGCAACATATGTTGCAACATTATAAGTTGCAATATATATAGGTTAAAACTAATTGCAACGTAAGTTGCAACATTAAAAGTTGCAATATATTAATTACAGTTCCCATCTTTAATCATTCTATTAGCTCTGCCCCAAGAATAATTTTTGATGCATGAGGGAGTGGTTGGTTCATAAGATATTATGTAGTTATTTTAGTATCACATAAGGTTTCATCAGCGTGATGGTCATACTAAAATGATAATGTTGCATATGTACTGATAGTGCATGCGTTTTTAATGATGAAATTCTTGTACTGATCTGAAACTAACGCATCATTTATTATATTAGTTTGAAATTGCATTTGAAGGAGTCTGCAGTTTGCGTGATATAGGAGCAGTCAAAACAAATAAAGAAATACCTCTTAATACAGATGAGATAAAGAAAATATAAATAAGTTGAAGGCCAAACTCAAGAAAAATATAACGACGCTGATTAACCAGTATCTATACTTTGGTGTAGATAATGTAAACATTACTGAATTATCATAGAATGACCCTCTAGCTAGTCAGGTAATTTCTGACAAATCGGAAATTGTACAAAATCTGCCAGAATAATTTAAGCATACTTTTATGAAACCAGTACGACAAATGGTACCTTTATCTCTTCCGTTTGCAGTAAAAGAAAATGTAATGAATTCGTTGCTTCTTTTACTGAGAATCGTGAAATTGATTTATCAAGAAAACTTATACATGATGGAACATGAAAGGAAACAGAGAATGAGCTCGCAATAGTTGCTAAGAGAATTTTAGACGCATTGTAAGTATTTTTTTATGATATTTTGTAATATCTAGTGATTTTTTGATCACTGCTTATGTCTTTTTATGAATATTAGAAGCAATTCTTAGAATAATCCAGCATTTGGAATGAATTTTGTGGATTCCCTAAATGAATATATTTACGTAACCAATGTGATAGTACCAGCCATTCAGGTAACATTGAAGAATCTTTCTCTAGGAAAAACCACATTTGTTAGCAATTCTGAATGTTAAAGTAGTGCCAGTGTAGATAGAAAAAGCGATGGGTAATCTGAGAGACAGCCAGATGTTATGTTTGTAATGAAACACAATGGAAAAAATTGCAAACTTTTATTTACTGAATCCTCACGTTTATCATATACAGCGAAAAAAGAAAGAGATGATCAAGTGAAGTTGTGGTGCGAGATCAATGATGGAATGTACTGGACTCGTAAAAGTTGTAAGTAGGGTTGAGAAGTACAGTGTTAGTACAATGATTAGTACAGTTAGTACAGTTAGACATTATAATAATTAATATAAAAATTAGTACAAGTACAGTGGTAATTTTATCTAGTACATATACAATTCCCAACCCTGGTTGTAAGCTGAATAAGGATGAATTTGGCATTATCAGAGTACAGATAGCCGGAAAGAAATTATATTTGAGTGTTCTTATAAGAAATATGAGTGAGGTTCATCAATATTATCATCTTCATGAATCAGAAATTCCGGTTCAACTATCAGATCCATCTATCGTAGAAAAATTTGTAGAATCATTATTGATATTATGAAATATTCTGATCATTAATATGAGTATACTGTACAATGCACCTTTAAAAAGATCAAATCGGAATGTAAAAAAAGCTCTACAGTTTCTTCACCTGTGCAGGATAACTAGAATTCCTTAACATTTTTTTGTCATATATTTTTATTTGTACTAATAAAGTGATCCTGGCGGTCAATTTCATAAATATACAGTACATATTTTTTTATTTTTGAATATTAATATACTAATATTACATTACTCAAGTATGCAATCTGATATAGATGGTTCTAGAGTAATTGATTCATTGAAATGATGTATTGCCAAGCTTGAGATCGAGAATAATAAAATTAGGGCTGAGAATGTTGAGCTTAAGACCAGAATTACGAAATTGGAAAATAAGCAAATACAGAATGAATTAATAAAAAATTTGCTATCTGTATCATGTGATAAAAACCATTGATCACGCGATCAAAGCCTAACCAATCCCCTACCAGATATGATGCAACTCGTAATATTGGCGCGTAAATATCTCAGAATTCTTTGAATTCCCTAAATATGCAAAATTCTTTAATTCTCAGAATTTTTTATTATCTATAAGAAATGACCGACATACTAACGCCATCTTTTCACATATATTACTCGAAGCAACTTAACCAACTTTCTTGTTCCATCAAAATAGATATATGGCAACTATACATGAAGTCGAAATGGTCAAAATGGTCAAAATGTTTCGACTTTTTGGGTTTTCATTTCGACTTCATATATAATGGCAACGCCTTACATCTCGAAAATATTCGTTATTGCTGAAACAGGTAAGTGGTATTCACCTGAAGTGGAAGATTTGTTAAATAAAGCAGTTGAAAATTATATTAAAAAAAGGAGCATCAGAAGATGAAGGGACCAAAAGAGACCGAGCCTATTACTAGCGACTGTAAAAATTTGTTAAGAAAAGAAAATAAGGAGTTGTGTATATCAAAGCAGGTATTGGAAAAAAAGATTGAAGAACTTCTCGACTTGCAAGAGCAATATAAGTCTCATGAGATAGCCATAATCAGGTCTTTGAAAGAGATTGGCGGGAAAGTTACCCAATTATCAGATCCGGTAGCTTTCTTCAAAAGTATAATTCCTGATATGAAAAAAGCTATTGTATCAGCTGAAAAGTCCATTGACCTGTTAGAGAATAGATGCCAGAATCTGAAGGATATTATTTTCGTTAAATATAGAAAATTATCGCTCTTATTGATCAGATTCTTTCTAAAACAAAGCATAATAATGTGACTATAGAACCA